ATTTGGGTTCGTATCTGGTTTCTCAAAACAACTGAAATGCGAATATGAGAACAACTGATTAATTTCTCAGTTAATGCGATGAAATGCGAATGAACTCAAAGACGGATGGATGCAAGATGCGAAGAATTGAATGAAAATGCGAAGTTTTTAATGTATAAATGCGAATGAACTCAAAGACGGAAGAAGTTTTTAATCTTAAATGAAATCATAGTTTCCTAATAAATTAATTAACAAAATACTTAACCCGAAAACAAATCGAAAACCAAAATATACCACATAACGTGAACCCACCAAACCAATACGAATGTCAAAGAAAGACACATGAGAATTAACAAAAAAAAAAAAAAAAAAACTTTCATTCACAAATGGTATAATGCATAAATAAAGCTTATTTTTTTCATTTACATAAAAAATTTAAGAACAAAACACTCCCATGTTCTTGTACATGATACATACAAAACAAAGAAGAAACTATTATTCATATGGTACCTTCAAAATATAAGAATGATACAATAGTCAAATATGTATATGATAAAATTTGAAACAAATCAATCCAAATTCACAAAATTTTGTCAGTTAAATTTTTTTTGTTGTCTGACAATAAATGAAACCAAAAACTTATGCATTGCAATTTTCAAAAACAAAACTTACAAATGGGTTTACCCCAAACAATAACAAAAACTTACATATTGCAACTTTAAAGAAAAAACTAAACATTCAACTACAAGAGCTCTAAAACCCAACAAGAAGATCATATTCAGATCTTAAGAAGCTTACCCACGATTTCTTTGAGATGTTGGTTTATATCAATCCATTTCAAGTCCTGTAAACACACATAAACACAAAGTTAGACATACGCATAGATACAGGACGATGGTCAGCAGCACCGGAATTTTAGAAGGATGCATAGAGGAAACTAATATGTGGAAGCTATGAGGTAGCTTTTTGATAGAGAGACAGAAAGGGGAAGTGCAAAGAACGATAACAAAGGTGGTGGGTTTAGCAAGCAAAGATAGCCATGGAAGGAGAAAAAAGGTAGTGTCTCGCAACAACAATGATCTAGGAATTTTTATAAACAACTAATTGACTCTTGGTGATTTGCAAGATAAACATAGACTCATACAAACACACACAACCAAATTGAGAAACGATAAGGAAAGAAAGTAATACCTTGAACTAAACAAATTAACAAGCTCTCTAGTTGCTTATTTCTTTAAGAACATCAAACTAACTATGAAATTTTCAATATACTCCTGCAAAAAATAATGTAAAACAAGCTCATAAATTGTGAATAAAATAAACAACTAACCCTAAAACTGGTTGGAAATAGTGTGTGCTGATCTCATCAAATAATCTGGCATTTATGAATAGCTCTAAATAATCTTAAACAACATAGGTGAGTGTAAGAATCGATATATCCATGAAACACAGAGTAAAATCATTATATGACAATTAAGTAAAACTAAAAAAAAACATGGAACAGAGAATTTGATAGAACTATTTACCTGGATAGTGGTGAAGATGGAGATGGTTAGTGAAGGCTTCAACGTTGGGGTTTAATTAGAGTGTGAATACAAAGATAGGGGAGAAGACAAAGATGGTAGACGATGGTGGTGAGGTCATGATAACAGTTCGATTTCTGTGATTTTCACCCAATTCATAACAAAAATTGTTATTTTTCTTGAAAACAAACATTAATTAAATGGATAAGGATTCAACAACTACAGTAAAATGATAGAGTAATAAGATATTTCCTTCATTAACTGGAGTCCATATCAGTACAGATAGTTGAAGATATACCTGAATTGATACAGATAGTTGAGAAATGTCAAAAGGACACAAATACCCTTAGTACCACTTAAACAAGAAAGCTTTACTCTAGATACACTTATACAAGAATATTTAATATACAAATGATTACCCAAAATGTAGACAAACATCAGAACCTGAAATGGAGAGGAAACACCGGAAATTGAGAGTAAACATTGACGATTATGTGATAAATGACTGAAAAGAACACTTTAAAATTGCTAACAAAAACCTGTATTGTTAGAGAACGTTTGTAAATTAATAGTGTTTGCCTCCTGGTTCTGCAATAGAGAGAGAGAGAGAGAGATGGTTGGAGACCTATGACCACAAAAAGAGAATATGTGTGTGCATATGGCTTAAAGAGCACTAACCTTGAAATCGTGTTGGATCCTGGTCCACTGTGACACTTGTGAAAATGGTTGTCTGAGGTTTCTAGAGAGTCGAGTGCGACCAGCTGTGAGTAGTAGATGGTTAGGTCTCCAGGTATGTGTGTAAAATGCGTAACACTTACGACCTCACAGATAAGAAATTTTTTGCAGTCAATTGGTCATATAAGGGGATGGGGCAGAGATATGAAGAAAAAGATTCGTTCTAGACTTGACCGGTGCAATCGATCAAAATCAAATAATTAGAGAATAGAACAGTAGCATATGCTAGATGTCGAGAGATGGGGGTTGTGAACGGTGGTAAGATGAAGTGCGATGATGATGAAGGTGGCCTGTTTGATGGTAGTGAAGGTTATGTGACAACAAAGTTTACTGATGGTGTTGTGATGTTCGATATTCGGGTTTCTAAAGGAGATATGCAAGAGAAGAGAAAGGCAGAGGTGTTTAGCAGCGACTGTAATGGTCTCAGTGGTCAAGGTGTGGTGGGTAACTGCGTCGAATATGGGAGGAATTTTAGAGTATTTAATAGAGAGGGAGAGAGTTCAAGGAGAGAAGAGATGGCGACTCATCTAGGGTTATTCTACAAGGAAGGGCTATAGATACTAAGATAAGAGATGATATATAAAGTTTATCTATAGACCGATTCAATTGGCAAAATCTGAGGAAGACGGGTTCTTCTTTGACCAGTTCAATTTGAAGAAGAAAGCCAAAGCCTATTCAATATGTACGTAATTCATGTTAACCGCGTAAGATTTGGTATTTTTCTATGCATAAACTCATTGTAAATAGCGTAATAAGGGTTATACCTCTTAAAATTTAATATTATTTTATTAATGATTACTTGTACTAACAGCTTAATGGTTTGGACGTCTTAAAAAATATTATTATTATATTGAATCTATTTATGGAAATAGTTGGATTTCTATTATAAGGTAGTATATATATATATATATATATATATATATATATATATATATATATATATATATATATATATATATATATATATATATATATATATATATATATATATATATATATATATATCACATCATATCCCTATCTTTATAATTAAATCCAAGTAAAGTTTGCAACTTTTTTTACAAGCTGCACCATATATTGCTTTTTATTGTCCCTTCTTATTGACCGTTTTCTTTTGATGTTTACATATAAAAAATATTCATTAACTCTTGTTAATATTTGACCAATCAAATATTACATACTCAGAAGTATAATTAGAACATAAAGATATATAATTGTTTATTCTTTTTGTATACGGTGTAATAGCTCCAGTTGTACAATTACATCTTAAAATTATAGCAATGGATTAAAATTTAGATCGGGAGATGTAGAAAATCTTAATGACTCTTAAGCTTTCGTTTCGATTTGGGATTTTGGGAAATATGATGGTACTGCCGTATCGAAACCGTAGTACAGAAGCCAAAATGGTCGAAAAAGTGGAACCGATCGAGTACCTTACCGAATGCATGTATTTGGTTCGGGTATTGTATGGTTTCGGTTCAGAGTACCGTTCAGGTTCATAAATTGGTCTGACTTGCTCGTCCCAACAAAAAAAAACCTCTATGATGATTTATCTGGTCGTTGAATGTATCCATATTTTCACTATAGATTCCAACATGTCGTAGCATTAGACTTCATTGCTAGACCTTCTCCAGTGGACTTCTATTTTTGTGTTATAGATGTCAAAAATTCTCCAATCAATCATTAAAAGTGGTCTTTATTTTTGTGGGAAAAAATATGACATCTATATATAGAAGCTACTATTCATGACACAAAACCACTTTTTCTTTAAAATGGTTATTTTAATTGTTTTTTAGTTTTATAATTATTGTTTTATATTTTATAATATTAAAATATGTTTTAGTGTAATTTTTAGTATATGGTTGGAGTTAAAATGAATTTTGGTGTTAGTTTTACACAAAAATATTGTTAATTTTAGTGGTAAGGTTGGAGTTGTTGTTAGAAGGTTGGACTTCATGGTTATAAGGTTGTAGCTCTGCTAAAAATGTTTTTCTATAGTCTTTGTCGTTACATTGAAAATTAATAAACAAAAAGGAAAAAGAAATAGGGATGACATGTCGTGTCTATAGGCATCACTTTCAAAAATAAACGGCAAAATAGGGATGACATATTGTGCCTATAGGCACCCCTTTCAAAAATGGATGGTGATTTTGCCACTCAACTTTTAATCATTCCACTTAAATAAAGTGTGAATTGACAATTATGTCCTTATTTTATTAAAGACAAAATTGCAAGAATGGTCCCTGTGGTATGTCAAAACTAACAACTTTGGTTCAAAATGGGTTTGGCTTGCAGGGATGGTCCAATAGTTTCGTTTTGTTGCGAGTTTAGTCCAAAAATTATAAAACTTTTTATAATGATAGATTTGCCCTTGGTATTTTCCATTTTTTAAATTTTTTATTACAGAAATAAATAAAAAAACAAAAAAAATCTCTCTCTCTCTCTCTCTCTCTATATATATATATATATATATATATATATATATATATATATATATATATATATATATATATATATATATATATATATATTATGAGAAGAGGGTTTCGGTAAAGAGGGCGAATGAGGCTTCTCGTGAAGATGTTTCTGGTGAAGATGCTTCCGGCGAAGGTGCTTCTGGTGAAGAGGGTTCCGTCAACCGAGGCTTCTGGTGGATTATCGTCATCGTTGCTATCCTTCTTCCCAAACACTGATGGTTGTGGGGGTTTTCAGATCTG